TAGATGCTTGGTTTTCTTTCTCGTAGATGCTGGGATGGATTCTTTCTTGTAGATGCTAGGATGGCTTCTTTCTTGTAGATGCTTGGTTTTCTTTCTCGTAGATGCTGGGATGGATTCTTTCTTGTAGATGCTAGGATGGCTTCTTTCTTGTAGATGCTTGGTTTTCTTTCTCGTAGATGCTGGGATGGATTCTTTCTTGTAGATGCTAGGATGGCTTCTCTCTCGCGGAAGCTGGGAGAGCTAGATGCTGGAATGTTCAACCACCGAAATAGCGTCACAGATGCTGCTCCCCCCTGCCGCCCTTCTCACACACCTGGCTGCGGGCACACTTGGAAGTCAACTGTCGTCAACACCGCATACCTTTACCCTTTCAAACATCCAGTACGGATCGATGCTAGCATTGGTTGCCAGGCACCCGCACGCGACCGACAGAAAAGAACACGTCGCCACAGCGCGACGTCGTCCGACGAAATGCATTATTTATCGACATATTGCCGTCGTCGGCTCGAGGCGTCGGCGGCCGACAACGATCGTAGCGTCGGTCGCTAGGAGAGCGTCATTATCTGCTTCCGTCACCACGCGACACGCGCGCTCCCGTGCGGTTCGACACAAAGAACAGCATTAAGTATTAATGTGTTAGCGATGAAACGATGTGTTTCTGATGCTGAATGCATCCAGGTGTGTATGCGCATGCATGACTTGAGTCATCGAACGAAAACGGGGCTAAGCTAAACAAATTGTGAACTGCAATAATGTAAAAAACTGTAATGTACATGTACATGTACATGTACATGTAGCTCCAAGAAACGGTATTGCTAGGGTTAGAATACCCGTATAGACCGTATAGAATACCGTATAGAATACCGTTAGAATACCGTATAGACAATCCGTCGCACAGCCTGGTCGGGCTAATGTACATGTAAATGTACAAGCATGTACATGTAAATGTACAAGCATGTACATGTACAAACACGAACAACATGCATATGCACAACATGTACAAACACGTACAACATGCATGCACAACATGTACAACATGTACAAACATGTACATGTTGCATGTTACATTACATGTACATGTACATTACATACAAACATGTACATGTACTTTAGGTACATTTGTACATGTTGCATGTTACATTTGTAAAATATCTGCTGTCTAAATATCATTTACCTAGCTGTATAGCACTATAGCATCCATCGCTATTCGTTACCTAGCCTTTACCTAACTATTACATCCTTTTTGTTCAAATATTTTGTACTATAATGCAGATAATATTGGATTGCCGTTTCTAGGTTCTCGCTTCTTCTAGGTTGCATTCGCAGCGTCTACTGCTCGTCGCTTATTGGCTGAAGTCGCTATTACGGGGGCACGTGACAGAGCTGTTGTAGCGTAACCATAGAAAATAATAGAGAAGTTAGTTATAGACTCTAGTGTGGGTGTCTATATATTTCTATGGTACTAAGTACTAACTAACATATTATAAGCAGATGGGGCGTAATGCAGTAGCAAGTGACGTGGCAGACTTTTGCCACAGACTTGTGACGGCCATAGTAGGCCTACTAAGAGAGAAAAAGTAACAGGGTGATAAATTCAGGTTCGATAATAGGGGTATATGTCAGAAATGAAGCACAGAAGGAAACAAAGGGAATCAAATTCACGTTTTTTCATTCCCATTTCTAGGAACATTTGTATATATATATAGATTTGAATGATGTTGTAAATAAAGTGCAGACACGCACGCACGCACAGACACACACGCGCGTATAGTTAGGCACACACGCGCACAAAGAGAGATAGTGATCAATTGATCGATAGCAAGATATATAGAGAGATACAGAGACTCAGAGGTGATCAGGAGAGGGGAAGAGTGAGAGTGAGAGAGAGAGAGAGAAAGAGAGGGAGAGAGAAAGAAAGAAAAGGGGGAGAGGGAGCGAGAGAGAGAGAGAAAAAAGAGAAAAAGAGAAAAAAAGAGAGAGAGAGAGAGAGAGAGAGAGAGAGAGAGAGAGAGAGAGAGAGAGAGAGGAGAGGAGAGGAGAAGAGAGAAAGGAGAACGAGAGAGTCTGAGAGAGAAGAGAGAGAGAGAGAGAGAGAGAAGAGGCGAGGAGGGAAGAGGAAAGAAAGAAAAGGGCGGAGGGGAGGCGAGAGAGAGAGAGAACGAGGGAGAAGAAATAGAGAGCAGGAGAGAGAGAGAGAAGAGAGCGAGACGAGAAGGAGGAGAGAGAAAGAGCAGAGAGAGAGAGAGAGAGAGAGAGAAGAGAGAGAGAGAGAGAGAGAGAAGAGAGAGAGAGAGAGAGAGAGAGAGAGAGGAGAGAGAGAGAAGGAGAGAAGAGAGGAGAGAGAAGAAGAGAGAGAGAAGAGAGGAGTAAGAGAGAGAAGAGGGAAGACAGAGAGAGAGAGGAAGAGAGAAGATAGAGAGAGAGAGAGAGAGAAGAGAGAGGATAAAAGAGAGAAGGAGAGAGAATAGAAGAGAGAAGAGAGGAGGAGGAGAGAAGAGAGAGAGAGAGAGAGAGAGATAGAGAGAGAGAGATGAAGAGAGAGAGAGACGAAGAGAGAGAGATGAGAGCGAGAGAGAGGAGAGAGAGAGAAGAGAGAGAGAGAGGAGAGGGAGAGAGAGAGAGAGAGATGGAAGGATGTATGACGAGATGAAGAGAATGAGAGAGAGAGAGAGAGAGAGATTCGAGGATTAGAGAGAAAGAGAGGAGAGAGCGACAAGAGAAGAGAGAGAGA